AAATTAAATATTTCTCAAAGTTTTTTCTAGAAATCTTTTGATTACTTTAATTAATTCATCATTTTCAAGAATGTCATTATGTTTACATCCATTGATTATATCATATCCATACCTCATCTCATCTGGAATTGAGTTGTAGATTTCTACTGACTCATCAACTCCTATCAACTCATCTTCTTGTCCATGAATTACTTCAACTGGAATATTAATATGTTTCAATTTTGGTATGTTTTCAAACATATCAGTCATTACCATTCCTGCATATTTACTTACCACTCCACAAATGCTTGTGAATGTTGAGATAATAATCATTCCCCCTATCTTTTTTTCCTTTTTTTCTTCTTTCTTTTCTTCTTTCCTTTCAAAATCCTCTTTCATCTCAATTTCTTGTGTTTCTCCCCATTTCCCACATTCCTGACTTGCAAATGAAATACTCACTCCTCCTCCAAGAGAATGTCCCATCAACACCATTCGTTCCCATGTTATTCCATTGTCATGCAGATAATTACAAACATCCCTAAGATCCTCCACACTATTTCTTTCACTGCTTTCTCCCTCATTTCTACCATATCCTGTATAGTCATATCCAACAACATTACATTTTAATTGATGTGCTAGATTTTCTATGAATGGTAAACACATCCCTAAATCTTGTGAATTTCCATGGCTGTAGATTATTGTCCAGCATTTCCTATCAATCAGTTTTCTTCTCACACTCTCTTGACAGCAACAAACATGCATTTGTCGTTGTTTTTCACCACTGCAATTGGAATATATCCATCACGGTTTTTCTTTTTAATCATCATGAAATTGTGGTTGAAGTATGTTGGTGGGGGTGGGGTAAATGTCAGCATCTTCACAATTGACTGCCCCATTCACTTCACAATAACACATTCAAGATTTTAGTTGATTGTATTAGAGTGTTATATATAACGAAATGCTGTTATTTATCAAATAGTTTTATGATATTTTCAAAGTTATTTTGTCATCTTCTTGGATTATTTTTTATTTATTACAATGGGTTATTTGCTATTCTATGTCAAATATTTTCATGCTTATCATTTTATTGGACATTTATTATCAGTATTAGAAGTTGTTATTTGTCATAGTCGTATGTTATTTA